CCGCCCCCCCAGGGAGTCGTCCAGCTGCACGGCGAGCAGGGCAGCAGCGCCGGACTCGTCCTGAGAGCACTCGCTACCTGCGGCGGGGACACGGGCGGAGACACGAGGACACGGAGACATGGAGACACCGGGAAACAGAGAAACGGGGACACGGAGACACGGAGAAACAAGGACACGGGGAGACGGGGACACGGAGACACGGGGACATGGATACACGGAGAAATGGGGACACGGGGACACGGAGACACGGAGAAACGGAGACACGGAGACATGATGTGAGCAGGGCAGCAGCGCCTGACTCGCTACCTATGGCGCGGTGCAGACACGGGGGAGGAAGGGGTGGGGGTGGGTGGATATTTAATTAAGCGATTCGATGGACGAGTCAATGGATGAGCGGTTGAACAGCTGATTGAGTTAGTAATTGAGCGAGCGATTGAGTTGGTTGAGCGAATTCGGCGGGCGAGCGGCCTCGAGCCCAGTGTGCGCCTCACCGAGCCAGAAGTGCAGCTCGTATCGTTTGACCGAAGGGCCGAAGGAGAACGTCTTGAGCACCACGTAGGCATCCCCCGTGAAGAAGTTGCCGTACTGGTTGCGCGCCACGGCCACAGGACTCAGCTTCTCCACCCTCCACACCTGCAGCCCCTCCACCTGGCCCGCTCCCTTGAACCCCGCGTGTAGCACCATGGCTTCAGGTCGGAGGGGGGGTGTCTGGGGGGGGGGGTCGGAGGATGGGGAAGAGAATAAGGTGGTGGTGGTGGGGCGGGGGGGGGGCACGGGGCGAGACACGGGACGTGGAGTGAGCCCGGCGCGTGACAGCAATCCCCGCGATTTGGAGGCGATGGTTGGTGAATCGCGACAGTGCAGATTTGTGACACCTCCGATTTCCGCACCTCCGAACGTCCGCAACCTTCGATTCGATGCGGTTGGCTACGTACGGTACGAAAGAAGTTCAACGTACGTACAAGTGCGAGGTGGTGGCCAGGAGATGGCGCAGTGGTGCACGTGCGATGGTGATAATCCAGACGCGGTGCTTATTTGTCAGCATCCTGCAAACGCTGCTGTTGTCGAACACTCAGGAAGATATTGCAACTATACTAGGCAATACAATTTGGACTGGTGTTGCTACTAATTGTAACTGCACGAATGTATATTGGTGTATGTATGGTGTATATGTATGTATTAGGCTATTGATGCGTGTGTATTGGCATGTCGCAGTAGCGGAGAGCTTAGCGCACTGCGGTGAAAACCCAATGGCCCGAGTTTGATTCCCGCTCACGGCCAACACCAGTGACGATGATCTGAACTGATCCTGTGCCTCCCCGAGGTCGACTCAGCCTCAAATGAGTACCTGGTGCGATGTGAAAATATCGCCACTCGGGGAGGCAAAGGCGGCCGGGCGTGGTGCTGGCCACCCACCCGCTCGTGTGCCGTGCCGGCCTGCTTCCAAGGCGCTCACGAACAGCACTTGCCCCAACAGTCTGTTGAAAGGCTACACGGGGGATCTTTGTCTTTGTGCATGTTAGTGAGTACAGTATCTTAACCTTCGACTCCTGTTTGTCTGCACGATCCGTCTGGTGAGTACGCAGGGGATGATCAATCTCATGTCCAACGCAAAATCCAGAAAACAAACAAACAGCTCAAAAGCCACCAAAGTTCAATATTTATCATCCATTCAGTCCGGCTATCGGTCTCCTATTTAATCTGAGCAATACTTTTGCGTGCGTGTCAAAGTATAAACAAGCTGACTGGATGATAGTACAGCATTAAAAGACACCAGCCAAAACTCACTTTATATAGATACACAATTGCTCTCGACTTTACTTGTGACCTTAGAAAACAAGAAATGCACGCGATAGGCCGACCGTTTTGGGCAAATGACCCTTAACTTCAGAGCAGAGAGTGACCGGCAAAAAAGGTAGACACTTACCAAACACAGCATCCTCCCTGCCCGGCTCCCCCTGCCAATGTAATTCTCATTTGGCGTTGCGTTGTCATTCAACGATTAATCGATTCGAGAGCAGCGCATCGGTCCGTGTTAGAGAACGGTCCGCGGGAAGCGGATATCACCGAACTACCACGAAGGACCCTTCAAGTCACCTGTGGCGTGCACCGAAGTGGGACACCCACGTGCTCCATCAAGTGAAGACTGAGAGCCGTGTACCGTGCTAACATCACTGCCACTGGGACCACGGCTCAATGTGCTATGTCTCGCTCACCCCGCTGCTGGTACAAAGCCCCCCCCCCCCCGCCCAAGAAGGTATTTGGCCTACTCTTCCATTCTGGATAGGCGTCTTGGAAGAGGTGGGAGTTACCCACACTTCACCCCACCACACAAGTTGCTTACCGATTTGCGCCGCGTTGCGTACAGAGGCGAATGTGCGGGTGGGGGGGGTACGTAATAGTATTTAAGTGATACGTGATAATATTTAAAGGGTACGTGATAGTATTTAAGAGGTACATGATAGTATTTAAGAAATTTGCACGATTGTTTTAACTGCCGCGTCGGAAGAGATGGAACTGGCGCCCTATGAGTTGCAAGCGCGCTGCTCTGTCTGTGTTGAACTTCTTTCGCACCGTACCTCGCCAACCGCGCTCATCGTAGGTGCGTGGGAAGGACAACAACACGAAACACAACACTAAACACAACAACAACAACACTAAGCACAACAACAACAACAAGCAGCTCTAAAGAAACGGGGTTTTCAATGTAGACGATTTAAAAGTGGCTTCCTAGTATCGGAAGGAAGAGCGCGTTCCAGACGGCCGCAGAAGCGCATCCGAAATCGCGATACACCGCGGGAGAGGGATGAGAACGCCGCCGAACAGACGGTGAGACAAAGTTCACTTACGAGATCCGAGACGGATTCTTGCACGGACGTCGCACTGCGATGCCCTAAAGTTCCCGACTCGCTTCTCTCTCCCCTCCCCCCGCCTTTTAAACGTGTGGCTGCGTCGCTCTCACATTGACCGCTCCGCCCCTCCCTCCTCCCCCCCACTCCCTCGCCCCCCCTCAATGGAGCCATCCCCACCACCCCCACCACCTCCACCACATTGAACCCTCCGCCACTCGATCTGTCACGTTCAATAATTGCATCCTCATCAGCCAGCAGTTGCCATGTTCTATCCACTGCTGGGTGACTGCTTACCCCGAGCACTCAGCATGCCACGCGGTTACTGATCAGGAGGCGGTCTGATCTCATCTCTTCATCAATAATTCATCATCACCAGCCGTGGCCAATCCACTGCTGGATGAAGGCCTCGCCAAGCTGTCGGCAGTCCCTACCCCCTCCACTGTCTCAGAAGCAATCATCACCCAGCGCGGACACACGAGCCGATTTCAGAGAGAGAGAGAGCGAGATCCGTCTCGTTCCTCCTGCACGTAAAGCGCAATCTGGTCCCTCCATCTCCACGGTGGACGTCCTACTCGGGTCTGCTGTACGCATTGTCTGTTGACCTTCTTTAGCACTGCACGTAACCAGCCGTCGTGTTCACAGCGAGTTGTTGAGTTTAAAACTCGCGCTGGCCGGATGGGGACGGCGCAACCTGGACGGGGTAGCTTGCCAGAGGAGACGTCCTTCTGCATTCGCGTTGGGGGGGGGGGGGGGTCGTGTGCATTCCACGGGAGACTCGCACTTCGATTGGCACGGGCGGGCTTCCGCACGGTGCGAAAGAAGTGCGACACATGCGCGCACACACAGGAGTTACTGAACGAGAGGAACGACGCGCGGATCAGAGGGAGAGATACGTGGTCTTGGCCGGCAACGCGTGCTCGAGACGAGCGACGGACAGGCAGCCAAAGTCGGGATTTGCCATCCCCCCCCCCCCACGAGAGCCCCTCCGCCGTGGAGACGCAGCGATGAAATCGAGGTGGTGCGTGCGCGCGTGTGTCCTTGTAGCGCAGTAGGGGGCACAGGCGGTGCATCGGCCACTCATCTCTGTCGGTCAACCTACGGCAACCTGCTGGGGCTGCCCCGTGACCTCCTGCCGGCGGGCGTTCGACACTTCACGTGGCCTCAAGGTGCACATAGCCTGGCACAAGCGTCTTGGTGACGTCACCGCCACTGAGTGGCGAATGGCGGTTATTGTTGTTGTGCAGGGGGCTAGTCTAGGCCCCTTCCGCCAACAGTGGCGTTTGCAAGGAATTGCAGGGCTGTACCCTAGCCTCAGGCACTGCACTGGCATGCCAGTTTGTTTATGAGCTTCGCTTTGATGTCGACATATACAACGAGGAAGCGAGGTTGTTGGCACGGAGCATGTGACGCGTGAGAGTTATGTACCACGTAAACATGCAGGTTTGGGCACAAGCGGATATAAAAGTTAAAGGTTACCCCACCAGGCATGAATAAATAACACATGAACCCTAGTAAATCCACTGCTGGATGAAGCCATCCCCCAATCCGCCGCCACCTCTCACGATCGTGCCATGTTAATAATCCTCCTAGCGTCCACACGTGAACTTGGTTTCATGGCTCCATCTCCTCGGTGGTCAAGCTTCTCGGAACGCGTTCTCTTCCTTGGCTGCCACTCTGTCACCAGCCTTGTCCACGGGGGGCGGGGGGGGGCATCGTCCATCTCTTCTGGCCGTGTGGCGTCCTGCCCAAGCCATGCTCGCTCACTGACACCGCGACTGCAATCCTTGAAACTGATGCGTGTTGTTCTCTAGTCCACGTGTTCCTCTGTCCTTGAGCCTGCTGCGTGTTGTTCTCTAATCCACGTGTTCCTCTTTCCGTATCGGAAAGTAGTTCAATGCGCGCGTCTCTCTCTCTCCACGTTTTTTCTGCACGTGCGTTGGAGACTCGGCGGCGGCCGGCCAGGAACACATCATCTGGGGAAAAGCCCTGGGCAGGGATTATTTACGCGACTTAGATATGCTTCGTCGGCGAGTCGTCTTCTGGGACAAAGCCCTGGACAATGAGTGACCGGCAAATAATGGGGACACTTGGCGCCTGAGGCAAAGCGCCGGGGAGATATCAATTCGCATCCGACTCAGAGACGCTGGCTCAGTGAGTCATCTTCTGAGACGTAGCTCTGAGAACGTGGACCAGGGGATACAAGAGGGGAGGCACGGTGGCCACGCGGTCACCCTGGTGCCGCATGACTCGTACATTTTGGAAGTCAGATTTTATTTTCCCCAGACGTGGTTGCCGTGAACACGAGTCTACAGTCCTCTTGGGTTTCTCTCTCTCCCGGAAAATTATCGTTGATAAAAAAATCTGCCGCTGTTTTTGTGTACTCCTCCCCCCTCCTCCTCCCTCTTCTTCTCTCGTTGTTCTGCCTCACGGCAGGTGTTTTGCTCCACGGCAGGAGTGGGGGTGTGTGTATACAGCAATTCCCTTTTTTGAGGTTGAGTTTGGGCACGTGACCATGAAATTCCAATTTGACAGCCTTTCAGCCACGAGGCTGGGGGTCCGCCATTACACAGAGTTCAAGATGGCGGCACAAATCGCGTCCCAGTGAAGCCAACTGTAACTGTACATTGTGGGACTTTAAGAAGCATTGTCTGTAAGTGCATTTATGTTCTTATAATACTGGGAATGCTGTTATAATGTTAGAATGACCGTTATAATGCTGTAAATGCCTTTATAATGCTGTTAAATTGTTATGATAAAAACGAGGCCTAGTTAACAACGAAGCCTGCAACTTGCCTTATTGTAAATGTTACTTGTAATTGAATAAGTCGAGTCAGACTTGTACCCAAGTAACTATATTGCGATCTTGAGAGCAAGGATGAGGAAATATCTCATCCACAATTCAGTATTATGTGTAGTGCTGTACATTTAGGCTGCAGCATGTTGATTACACGATGTGCCTTTAACACAGTAGCTTATTCTCTTGTATAGCTATTCAGTACTAATGTAGGTGCCTGGTCGATCCAGGATCTATTGTTGAGTTCATGTTATCTAAGACAATGTTATAATGCTGTAGTGTTCATTCATTGTATTGATATTTTCAAGTATTAACAGATGCTGGATTTGTGCTGTGTTTTTCCATCAGTTTTACCTCGTTCAATTCAATCAATTACATTTGGAGTCGGATGTTCACCCTGGCTCTGAAGGTTTATTGGATGCGAGGTTAACTACTCGGATAGCGGTGCAACACAGCGCACAGCGAGGCCGAGACTCTCTTTCATCGCTGCATTCGTCGGTCGCCACGTCGTTGGCTTGTGGTGAAGTTGCCTCGCGTCCTTGTGAAAGATGACACCCACTAGCGGACTGGAACAGGGGCTGCTTCATGTACAAAGTCGGCTGTTGGACCCCCAGGCGCAGCCGCCACTTGTGCCGCGGCGACACCTGCGGGGGTTCCCGAGAGCCGAGGGTTTGGTGCCTAAACACCCGGGGCGGTTTGATGGCACTGCTGGTGCACCACATCGGCCGGGAAGTAATGATTCATTTGAGAATCAACGATGACCAAAGCGACAGTAGGCCGCAGAGTATTGAGCTTTGTGGTGGTGGGATAACAGAAGGTGAGAAGACACTTAGACAACCAGACTCTGACACGAACGCTAGCAGTGGCCCTAACCACACAAGCCAGCCAGCCCCTGACCCTAACAACACTATCCGCCCTGTCCCCTACAGTATTAACCCTGATGGTATTAATATGTAATAATAATAAAAAAAGATGATGTTACCTGGTCCCATACGTCTAAGAGCATGACATCATCGGTGGCCAGGTCTTCCTGAGTGAAGTCTCCCGCCACCTCCTCCACCTGTGGGCGTGACCGACATGACGCTGAGCTCTACACGCGGCCATGGCGCGTTGCCGTCGGCGAGCATCGCCCGTCAGGGTCAGCAAGGGCACACGGGGGGGGGGGGGTGAGAATTGCCACCGTACCGGGGGGTGGGGCACTGGGGGGTGGTGGGGGTAAGGAGGCAGGAGGTGGTCAGCGAGACAGGGCCCCAGACCGTGAGGGCAGCAGCAGAGAAGGAGCGACCCGCCAATCGAGCGGCAAAGGTCTGCGCGGGGGCCGGGGGGGGGGCGATATGCCAGAGAGCCTCGGTCGCTGGAAGCGGAGAGTGCGTGGAGTGGAGTAGAAGCGATGGGAAAGAGAGACAGCGGTGGATCTAGGATGAGTGGAGGGGAGGAGAGCGATGGGAGAGAGAGAGAGTGGTGGATCTAGGATGAGTGGAGGGGAGTAGAAGCCAGATGATCCTCTCGAGAGCTCTACGAGGGGGGGGGGGGCGTGGCGGGGAGCGTGCCTGGAAGCGGCCGGTCTTGTTGGAGCAGGCGAAGAGGCGGGGCGGGTGGTCGTTGTAGTTGGTGCTGAGTCTCGGCGAGCTCTGGTAGTCCTTCTTGCCACCCAGCAGTGACCAGAACTCATCTGTGGGGGGAGGGGTGGGGGAGAGGAACGGGCAACCGATCGGTGATGGCTCTAGAAAGTAAAAAAAGTCTCGGTGGCTTCCTGCTTCAAATGAGCATTTGGGCCGGGGTTTGTTTGTTTCTGCCCAGCCCTGGGGCCAATGGCGAGCGACTGAACCGGAAGACCCCGGAGAGAAATCCCCTCGACCTCGGGGAGAGAGAGACGCACACAAATCCCAATATGCAGCAGGTACCGTCAGGGTCGGGATCGAACCCACGACCTCCTGTGTACCAGGCGAGGTTGTTAACACCACGGCCCGCGAGTCGCAGGCGACGGCGTCGTGACTGTGATGACCGCGGAACTCGGCGGGGAGGAGAAGGGGGGGGGGCGTTAGGGTGAGGGTGCCCCCCAGGTTACCCCTCGCCCCCCACCTGGCTCGTCCCCCTCGGCCAGGTCGGCGTGCGTCCGGCGTCCCAGCAGCTGGGCCACGTAGGCTGCCCCGTCCAGCTCGCTGCGCTCGGCACCCTTCCCCTCCCAGATGAACGTCTTCTTGGGGGACAGCAGCACGAAGGCGTCGTTCGAGTTGAGGGACGCGGCGCTCAGGGGGACCTTCGCGTGGGGGAGGGGGGGGGGGAGTTCCGCATGGAGGCCGGGGGAAGGTCGCATCAAGTAAACCGTCGGACATCGTGCCGAACGGCTCGCGCGCACGTGGTGACACTCCCGAAGCCGTACAGCAGACACCAAAGCTGACGAGGATGAAGACGACGATGATGTTGACGATGATGATTGCGAGGGTGATAATGACGACGATGACAATGATGATGAGGATGACGACGGGGATGACAATGACGACGACGATGTTGATGAAGATGACGAGGATGATGACGAGGGTGACGACGACGACCTCACCTCGACGGCTCTGGTGGCGCCTGCTGAGGAGCTGCGCACCTGGTAGAGTCGCGTGGGGGCCTGGGGGCTCTGCCCCCCATGGCGGGAGGTGCCCCCTGCGTGCACCACCAGGGGCTTGCCCCCGAACAGGCACAGCAGGTGCGGGGGCTCAGAGCCCTGAACCACGCGCACCTGGGGGGGGGGGGGGGGGGCACAACGTGGAATATCCGCCACTGGCTCCAGGCTGTGAACATCCAATGCACGATCTCAACCAGATTCCCACAGATGCCTGAGACTGGGCCCTGTGAGCCTCGGGGCACTGACACAGGGAGGGTGGTGCCCTGCTCCCTGGGGCGCGCGTGTTGCTCACCTGCATGGGCCGTCCCCCCAGCTCCTTGTCGAGCTGCACGGACAGGAAGGCGGAGTGCGTGATCTCGTCCTTGCTCGACTTGCTGCCCTGCCTGCTCCCGGCGCACACAAACACAAAGGTTCCTCCGTTGGGGTCAGAAGCGAGCAGCGACGACTACGACGGGCACGGCACGGGAGGGGGTGGGGGGACAGCATCACGCACGGCCGTTTTTGTCTCCGTAGTGGCGATGTTTACACAAAGCGCAAGGTACTCATTTGAGGCTGAGTCTACCTAGAGGGGGGGTGGCCCAGGACTGGTTCCTATAACTGCACCGGTGTTGGTCGTGAGCGGGAATCGAAATCGGGTTGCTGGGTTCGTAGCGCAGCGCACGTTAACCGCTACACTCCCCAACACATGCACATGTCCACATGTACACCACACACACACCACTCACACACACACCACTCTCACACACACACCACTCACACACACACACTACTCTCACACACCACTCACTCACACGTGTAAACTAGGGTCTGGCTCCGAATAAATTCGTGCCCGTGATTGGCTATAGTGGGGGGGGAGGGGGGGCGCTAAGGCATGGATACCCCTTCTTGTGTTGGTATGTTCATTGACGTTGAACTTCCTTCGCACCGTATGTAGCCAACCGTGCCAAGTCGGAGTTTCACAAATCTCCACGGGTGCGATCCCCCAACCCTTGCCTCCAAACCGCTGGCATCACAGCCACCCGACGTCCCGTGTCTCACCCCACCCTCGCCCGCCCTTCTCCCCGTCCTCCAACCCCAGACCTGTCGGATCGAGCCATGGTCCTGCACCCCCCACCCTCACCCCCTCTGCCCCCGTGTCCCGACGCGTGCCCTCCCCCCACCCACCAGGTGTAGAGGATCTGTCCCCTGCACCACGTGTAGAGGATGATGTACGAGTCGCCGCCGAAGAACTGCCCGTAGCTGGTGCGGTCCACACTCACGCGGCCACAGCTCTCCACGCGCCACACCTGGGGGGGGGGGGGGGGTGCAGGAGGTAGTTGGGGGGGTGCCGGAGGTAGCTGTGGGGTGGTGCAGGCGGTAGCTGCCTTGGGCTGTATCAGATTGTCGTAATAACAAAATAACGATTCGTTGTGTGAATGCGCGAGTCTTATTGAGGCCAGACTTAGGCACCTCGGGGATTCTCAGAGTTGTAAAATATAAATATTGAGAATATTAATATATAAAATATAAATATATTAAATATAAATACATAAAATATAAATATATAACCTATTAATATATAAACTATAAATATATAAAATACAAATATATAAACTATAAATATACAAAATATAAATATATAAAATATAAATCGCTTTCGTGGAGGAGGTGAGCCGTGAGCTTCAAATCTCAAGTGGAGCCGTTCCGAGTCCTTGGCAATGAGCGGTGCTGAAGCTCCGGCTAAGGGCGAGGTGACCACGCACAGGCAGTCCTCGTTTAACGCGCAGATGCGTTACACGACGGGCATTGCCAGTGAACCAACTCATAATCACCGCTCACTCACACGTTTATTCTCCCTCCCCTCGCCTGAACCTCGCCCTTGTCTAATTTCCCAGCATGCCTCTCTCTCGCGTGTGTCGTCTCATGCGAGTCGGCGGATGAGTGAGCGAGTGGGTGGGTGGGGTTGGTGCACGCATGATCCAGTAGGTGGGTGGATGAACGAGTGAGTTGGTGAGTGAGTTGGTGAGCGAGTTGGTGAGCGAGTTGGTGAGCGAGTGCGAGCGAGCCACCAATTACCCCTCTCAAACCCCATTACCATGCCCACTCTCCAGCACGCCTCGCTGTCCTTCACTCCCGCACCTCCGATTCGTGCGGTAGGCTATGTGCGGTGCGAAAGAAGTTCAAAGTACGCCCCTCCCTGCCCTCCTCCCCCCACCCCCTGCTCACCTGAACCTCTCCCTTGCCGTCATCCACCATGCCGTGCTGCGCGGCCATGGCCGGGCTGGAGTGCAGGGTGGAGGCGTTGAAGGGCACCTGCTGGACATGGGCGACGCTACCCACGTTGTACGTCTTGCCGGGCGTCACGACGTCGTCCTTACTCCTCCAGCTCAGGAAGAACTGCTTGAAGAGCGCCGTCTCCCCTTCCTCGGGCAGCACTGACACCTGGGGAGCAGTGACGTGGGAGGAGCAGCAACAGAGAGAGAGGGGGAGCTTCTCTACTCGCTACGCACGGCTGGGCTGCGTGTGTCCTGGGCTGTGTGTGTGTCCTGGGCTGTGTGTGTGTCCTGGGCTGTGTGTGTGTCCTGCGCTGTGCATGTCCTGGGCTGTGTGTGTCCTGGGCTATGTTTGTCCTGGGCTGTGTGTGTGTCCTGGGCTGTGTGTGTAGTCCGGCAAAACAACCCCTTACCTCCTCGCGGTGCCAGACGGGCAGCTTTGTCGTGGCCAGCGCTGTGGGGGGAGGGCCAATGCGGATTGGCCTCTCCCCTCATGGCGTCTGTGACCACCACAGTGGCTAAACGGGGGCTCTGGACGGGTGCGAGGGGCTGGTAACCCCTCCACCTTTAATTCATTACCACTAAACTATGATGTAAATATGTAACGAATAAGCTTGTGCTGGAGGCCCCGGGGGGACAGGCGTCTATGACGTCACCTGGCCAAACCCCAATTGGCAAAGCCAGGAGATTGAATCTTCACCCTCGGGGCTCCTCCAGAAACAACGAAAAGCCACTTCGTGTGGCCACGTGGAACGTTCGAACGCTCACTGCGGAGGAGAGTCTGCCATTCCTCTGTTGTGGAGCTAGACCAGTACCGCCTGGATCTCTGTGGCATTCAGGAGGTCCGGTGGACCGGTTCTGGCTCCTGCCACCATGAGGGGTGGACAGTTCTCTACTCGGGTTAGGAGACTACCAATCAACAGGGTGTGGCTCTTCTTCTGAACAAAAGAATGAAGGGGGCTTGGGAGCGTGGCGGTGAGGTGTGGGAAGCTGTAAGCCCCAGGCTACTTTGGGCTCGCCTTCCCATCAACCGGAGGCGAGGAGTGGTGGTCGTGGTTACTTATGCGCCCACCGAAGAAGAACATACGTGGAGGGATGCAGGCAAAGCCGATGAGTCAGATGCCTTCTATGACCTTCTGTCACAGGTGCTGGATAAAGTGGCCACTCGGGACAGAGTCATCTTGTTGGGTGACTTCAATGCCCGAGTTGGTCATGATGCTGGCACCTGGTCTGGAGTGATTGGAAGGCATGGGCCAGATCACCTCAATAACAACGGTAGGAGGCTGCTAGATTTTTGTGCAGCCCATGGGCTTGTAATTACCAACACACTCTTCTGGCATCGGCGCATCCACACAACATCATGGATGCATGCCGGGTCCAAGCAAGAACATCTGCTGGACTACATAGTGACAGACCAGCGGATGCGAGCCCATGTCCTTGACACCAGGACCTACAGTGGAGCTGATCTGCCCTCTGACCATCGACTATAAGATGCGCCTGCCATTCTTCTACTCCGGTGGTGTGTGTACACCCAGGACCCCATTCCAACCTAAAGTCACCTGGTCTCAGTTAGCTGATGAAAGTTGCAAGCGAGAATTGCATCATCGCTTGCAGCTGGGGTTGGCATCGTCCCCCACTCCTCCTGATGTCGAGGGTAAATGGGCGAGGTTTAGGACTGTGACTCATGCAGCTGCAATGGCTGCGTTGGGTACGCGGTCCAGACCTCCCCAGAGACCCTGGCTGACAGAGGAGGATGTTCAGGATGGTTGAGAAAAAGCGACAGGCCCACTCTCATCGGCTACAGCATCCCACGTCAGAGAATGAGGAGGCTTACCGCAGCCTTCGCTCGGAGGTTCGGACAGCCATAAGGCGCTGCAAGGATGGGTGGTGGTCGCGGGTTGCTGAGGAGATGGAATGCCTCAGTGGCCCGCGATCACAAATCACTATTTAACTCCATCAAAAAAGTAACCTGCAGCGCCACACCTATTACCATCATTAGGGGAAAAAACGGTGATCCAATCTCTGACCCCCAGGAACAGGTTTGCAGATTTGCTGAGCATTTCTGTGAGGTCCTGGGGGAGGGGAAATCCCTCAGCCAGGCACAAAGTGGGGATAACCCTGCTGAAGCTGCGTTGCCTCAAATATTGGAAGAAGTCACCTCCTGTGAGTGGCTGGCTGAAGTGCCATCTGTTGAGGAAGTACTGAAGGCGATCCGGAGTCTGAGACCAGGAAAGGCACCGTGCAGAGATGATCTCCCAAGCGAAATTCTGAGGGAGGGTGGCGTTTGTGCACAGACTGCCCTATATGACATTATAACAACAGTCTGGACCACTGGACGGGTTCTGCAGGATTGGAAGGATGCCCTGGTGGTCTCCCTCTTTAAGAAGGGGGACCACACAGACTGTAACAACTACAGGGGCATCTCACTTCTCAGTGTGTCGGGAAAGGTCCTGGCAAGGATTATTCAACATCGCCTTGCTAAGCACGCTGAGGAGAGGCTTGCGGAGTCCCAATGCAGTTTCAGGAAAGGGCGGTCCTGCACAGATGCCATATTTTCTGTCCGTCTGCTACAGCAGAGGTGTAGGGAATTCCAACAAGACCTACATCTCTGCTTTATTGACCTGGTCAAGGCCTATGATACCATCACTAGGCCTGGGCTCTGGGTTGTCCTTCGTGCTTTCTGAGTCCCTGACCCTCTGCTGACGATCATTAAGGACCTTCATGATGGTGAGCAGAAAACTATGTGGCCGGGAGTCAGAGCCTTTCCCTGTACACCTTGGGGTGTGACAAGGATGTCCTCTGGCTCCCACACTATTTAACAGCTATTTTGACCATGTAGTTCATGAAGCCTTCAATAGCTGTACCGGGGGAATTTCCATTTGGTACAGATAGAATGGGAGGCTGATCGATGCCCGGGTGCGATCAAGGGATGGCTCCCTATTGGTCAACCACGTTATGTATGCCGATGATTTGGTAATATCTGCTCATTCAGAGGAGTAGTCGGAGATGCTGCTACTGAGACTGGAGCGTGCCACTAAGAGGTGGGGCCTTACCATCAGCCCCACTAAAACTAAGCACCTGCCTGGGTATTTTGTACCATCGGACACTCCACCCCCACAACTCCCAATCGGTGATGGGGCAGTAGTGGCGAGAGTGGAGAGTTTCCCATACCTGGCAGTGTGCTTATGACCGGCTCCAGTTTAACAGCAGAGGTCTCACTCCGAATGAGTCGAGGGGCAATATCTTTTCATCGGTTGCGTAACACTGTGTGGAAGCTACCTGGTCTGTCGCTCCGCACGAAGCTTCAGGTCTTCTCGGCCACGGTCATTCCCTCCCTTCTCTACGCTTGCGAAACGTGGACCCCGCAAATGGAGCATCTTCGCCGGTTGGAAACATTTAGGCTGGCCTGCCTACAATCCATCCTGAGTTTAACCAGGCTGGATTGTGTGAGGAGCTCACAAATCCTTGAAAGATCTGGGCAAAGTCGCATCGGTGAGCTCCTCCGGCAGGCAAGGTTGCGTTGGCTGGGTCATGTAGCACGCATGCCCAGCCACCGCATGCCTAAACAGCTTTTGTTCGGCCGGATGGGCACGGCACGGGCTAGAGAAGAGATGGAGTGATGTGGTACAGGAGGACGTGGAGCTGAGTGGACTTGCCGATGACTGGTACCAGCGATGTCAAGATCGGCCTCTATGGAGGAGGCTTGTGAAGGACGCTACTGGGCAGTTGGAGCAGTCGCCCTCCAGCAACAACGGAGGGCGGAGGAGCGATGCTCACAACAACGAGCGGAGCGCCGGGTGGCTAAAACACAGCAAGTTGGCACAGTAGGGGGCACAAGTGGTGCATCAGCCAGTCATCTCGGTCATCTCAGTCAGTCGTCCCGTGGCACCTGGGTCTGCCCCGTGACCTCCTGCCAGCGGGCGTTCGACACTTCACGTGGCCTCAAGGTGCACATGGCCTGGCACAAGCGTCGTGGTGACGTCACCGCCACTTAGCGGCGAATGGCGGTTGTTGTTGTGTGTGTGTCCTGGGCTGCGCGTGTCCTGGGCTGTGTGTGTGCGCCCTGGGCTGTGTACGTGTCCTGGGCTGCGTGTGTGTCCTGGGCTGCGTGTGTGTCCTGGGCTGCGTGTGTGGGGTTGGGGTAGTGATAGGGGTTGGGGTATGGTTGGGGTAGTGGTAGGGGTTGGGAAGTGGGAGGAGTTGGGGTCGTGGTAGAGGTATTGGTATGGCTGGGGTAGGGGTAGTGGTAGGGGTTGGGGTAGTGGTAGTTGTAAGGGTTGGGGTAGTGGTAGGGGTTTGGGTATTGGTTGGGGCAGTGGTAGGGGTTGGGGTAGTTGTATAGATTGGGGTAGTGATAGGGGTAGTGGTAAGGGTTGGGGTAGTGGTAGGGGTTTGGCTATTGGTAGGGGTAGTGGTAAGGGTTGGGGTAATGATAGGGGTAGGTGGAGGTTGGTTAAGCGGGATTATCCCAAACCGATTTGGATACCACTTGCCACTGATGTCATCCGTGGCCGGGAAATCGAACTCGTGCCACTCGGTTCACAGTGCAGGGCGACAACCACAGCGCTACCGCTCCACCCCAGTGACTCTGCAGCGCCAATCGAACGTGTTTGACTACTCGACTCATAAACACGAGAACTACAAGTCGTGCAAGGATGAGCAATTTATGCAAACATCTCCAAAACTCAAGATTCCCCTTCCCAAAGGCGCAGTGTGCGGAGTGAGAGGACCGCTGGGGGGTTGTTGTTGGTGTTGTTGTTGTTGGTGGTGGTGTGGTTGGTGTCTCTGCGTCACCTTGGTGCTGGGCGAGTAGCTCATCTTCTTGATGAACTCCTCAGCGGTCATCATCGCTTTCTGCCTCTCGTTCGAGTTGGCTCTCTTGCCTGCAGCGACATCACTTCATCACTTAACCACTTCACCACTTCCCCAACTTGTTAACCACTTCACCACGTGATCATCTTCATACAACATTCGGTAGTACGTGGCGGCGTCATGGTCCAACTTGGTGGTAGAAAAAAAAACATTACCGGCAAATGACCGAGTTGGGAAATGAAATAGCAACTTGTTGTGCCCCCCCCCCCCCCCCCCTGCATAATATAGCGGGACCCCTCTTGAATGAGAATAGTCAGACTCAGCATCCTCTATCTATCCCCATCACGGCTGGGAACTTTGGCTGTGTGAATGATAATGGGATTGTAGCAATTGGATGATGGGATGATGGTGCAATGGGACGATAGTGATGGGATGGTGGGTTGGTGGAGTGCTGAGATGATGCTTGTGATGGGTCCGCCGTCAGCCTAACCCCTAGCCTGACCCTTACCCTAACTCTCACCCTAACCCTAGCCCTAGCCCTCACCCCAACCGTCACCCTTATCCTAGCCCTCACCCTAACCCTCACCCTAGCCCTCACCCTAACCCTCACCCTAGCCCTCACCCTAACCCTAGCCCTCACCCTTCCACACGAAGATCTGCCCCGCGGAGCCGTTGTCGAGCAGGAAGCAGTCTGCCGAGTCGAGCAGTGACTGCTGGAAGGGACTCGCGCTCGCCACCTCCTTCACCTCCATGCGGCCGCTCTCGTCGGAGATCTGTGGCAATCAACGACATCCACAACCACCATAATCCTCATTCCTACACAATGATAATGATGATCATCATCATCATCATCTTTATTACCCAATCATAATCCTCATCCCTCCATCATCATCACCATCATCATCTTGATTACCACAAACATCATCGTCGTCCACAACCACCATCATCCTCCTCCCTCCACAATGATGATGATCATAATCTTTATTATCGTAATCTTCATCTCTCCATCATTATTACCACTACCATTATCATCATTATCATCAACATAATTCACAACTAATGTAATAATATCACCATCATCATACTCTCCATATATTCGTTGCAACGACCATCATTATCAGTAGCAGCATAATTCAACGTGGAGTTGAGCGACATGTAATCTACTGCTCAACCGAGCCATTGGCACGGACAGCCACGTCACGCTGGCTGTCAGTTATTGGGGGGTTCCCACCTTCGAGTATCAGGTAGCCATTTTAAGGGGCTCTGAATTGACTTCTCTGTGGCTTCTTAGTTTTTCCTCCCCGTGGCCTATGACATTTTTTTGTACAACATCTTGTGTACCTAAAACAAAGTAAGGAATCTTAGAAATAATGTGTTGTTATAATCATCGTTGTTTGGTCCTTGTTTGTAACCTTGTAGAGCTTGGCTGAATTCCGGTTCGAGATATCCATTTCCACATCATCAGGGGTCCCGGGTGGAAGTTCAGGCTTGGGGCCCAGCACCTGGAAGGGTGTGCAGAGTCAGGGTTGATAGGTCAATAACGCGAAGGTCATAACGATCATGGTGGCGATGATGATGGTGATAATGATGATGATAAAAAGATGTGCTGCTGCTGTTTTTTATAATGGATGACGATGGTGGTGGCGATCGTAATTATATTGCTGATGATTTACTAGTTTAGGCTATTACGACAGAGCCATATGTATGATGGTGACGATTTTAGTCGTGTTGCTGCCACTGATTTTAATAATAATAACGATGACTGATAACGACTCCAAAAACGAGGATGACGACGATGGTGATGGCTATGATGATCACGATGATGATGGCTATGATTGTGACGATGACTATGATGACGATCGCTATGATGATGACGATGCCCCCCCTCCCCGGCTCACGTTAAGCAGCTGTGCGGTCTCCTCGCCCTCCTCCACCACGTGCACCGTCGCCCGCCCGCCCCGCTCGTGGTCCCGCACGCCGCGCGCCACCTCGGACGCCTTGACGCGCTCGTAGCGGTTGCAGCCCGAGCCGCACCACTGGTAGATGTTCTACAGGGAGCACCCGAGTACCAACACGGCTCAACTCCTGAAGCAAGTGCGTCGCAAACCACAAACTGGCGAGTAAACCTCCTCTGTCCCGGAGAGGTGCAGAGGCATGGCAGCCTCTCCTCCCATGTGTCCCATGTGGGCATGGGGACTTTCCGCGTGGCTGGCCACAGTGTCTGCACGTTGTGCCTGGAGGGTCCGGAGGATCCCCGAGGGATGCGATTCAGTGCCCTGGGCCTCCCATACGGTACATGGCCAGGGGACCTCAGGTGCTAGTTGATTGGGACTTCCGGCGCAAGCTTATTTTGTTTTTCTGTCGTCCTTTCGTAGTTTAGTTTAAGATGGAGGGATAACCAGCTGCTCGCAACCATCCAGCGCATTCTGTCTGTCAGCCACTGGGGTGGATGCTAAAATATCGCCTATTTATACTTGACCAAGTAAGGCCTACTAAGCTATATAGCTCTATACTCTTTGGTTCTTTCGGTAAAGTCACGTAGGTATAAAATAAATTAAATCACCACGTTTCGGGCGCAACACAAGCATCTGTCATCAGGTGGGACAACCACAGCAAGAAACAATTGCTGAAGTGGGCAAAAGGGCTGCTGCAACAAGAGGCTATATAGGCTAGAGAAGGGGGGGAGGAGCCAGGGAGGAGAAACAGGGAGGGTGGGGGTATGGGGTAGGGGGAGTGGAGGCGACAAGTAAGACGCAAGCACGGCAAAAAATGCCGGGGTGGGGAGGGGAAGTGGGCGGGGCTGGGAGTGGGAGGGTTAGGAAACTGAAGATGCAGATATGAAGGCAGGCCAAAAACGTCGTGATTTATTTTATTTTATTTAATACCTACGTGACTTTACCGAACGAACCAAAGAGTATGGATCCCTGCAGTCACGAAAACTTCAAAACTCGATTGAACCGCCTCTACCGGAACGGTTTCCACACATCTATTAGAGCTTTTAACAGACAACGGGACAAGAAGGTGCAACTAATCGAGTCGCTAACCTTCCTCAAGAGATGTCGCGATAACAAGGTAATACCTATCGCATTTACACTCACATCTGCTGCTGTCACTTCTCCTAACGCTAAACGGATCTTGTTTAAAGCCAGCCTATCACTAATCTCAGAGAGAATAAGATTGCTCCGATTTGAACTTGATAATTTAGACAAGACTCTCTTACAATCACACCTAATATTAACAGATAAAATGTCCACTTCTGATTGAAACCATTTAGATAACATGACAGTCTCCTCTGCTAATTCAATGTCAACCAAATGTAAAGTTAACTTGATCGCTAAATTCAACCTCCTGTCAAAAAATAAGCCAGATCCACACGTTAAAAAGTTAGATGTTAACAAGATTGTTATCAATCACAGTAACAGCCCAATTTCTGACAGCCTAAAATCGGTACTAGCTAAAGGGTTGAATTTCGCAGTCACCCCTAAACATATCCCAGTGGATGATATAATCTCCCAGGTCGACGTAGCCCTCAAAGGATTGGAACACATCCCGACAGATGCTGCTAGAGCTCAAATTGCCACCATCCTTAAAAATGCTAAGAAACCCATTAGTAACATCAGCAAAGATGAGCGCTCTGAACTCGCAAAATTGAAAAAGAGGGATGACATAGTCATCCTCTTGGCCGACAAGGGCAATGCTACTGTCATCATGGATAAAACCACATATAACAACAAAATCCAGGACCTTCTTAATGATGGCAGCTACACCAAAATCACCAAAGATCCTACGAACCGCCTGACTACAAAAACCAACAATACCAGTTCGACTTCTCTAATCGAACCAGTCTAACGGCTCTCCCTAAAACCTTCTGCTGCTAGACCACCCAGACTCTATGGTCTTCCTAAGATCCATAAAGAAGGCACTCCACTTCGGCCCAGCGTTTCCACGATCAACTCACCTATCTACAAGCTGGCCCGTTTTCTGTCTGATACCTTGCTTCCATTCACTGGCAAGACTACCTCAGCAGTATATAACTCAGCTCACTTGGTCTCTCTAACCAAGGCAGTGGCGGCTCCTGCAAAATCTCTCAGGGGGGGCAAATGTCTGGATGATTGATAAGGATAAGGTCCACCCATGCAATGGATAAATTAACAGCTTAAGCATGTAAAGGCAACTTCACTTCTTTAATATTAATGAAAAATAAAGTGACTCTTACAATACATCTTGTTTGTTTCTATACTCACTATTAAAACAAACCACTCAAGTTTATTTTATTAAAGATTCCACTAGGTGGCAACAAATTATATTGTTGGATGAAACGTGCTTACGTATGATGACGTAAGCACGTATGATGACATAAGCACGTTAGGGCGAGCCCTCCCGGAAGCCATAGAGAATGCATTGCAGCGCCCCCGTTCGAAAAAAAACATCTTTGAATGTAAGTCTATGGGGCCACTCGGGGCGATTCTCAGCTGGAGGGAAATCGTCCAAAAAGAGGCGGTACTCAGAACGTAGCATGACGCTGATTGGACTATATCCAGAGGCACAGTGACGGCTAGCGTGACTCTGTGGTTGAATGACATTAGTGGTGCGTCGCCCAATCGCCCTAATGAAGAAACCGCCCCTGAATCAAGAGCATTTCACTGTCCCCAGCTTTGATGTGGTTTCTCTGTTCACCAAGGTTCCAGTGCCTGACACCTTAGCAATAATTGAAGATTTAGTCCAATATGGACTGAACCCTGATGTTCCTACTCTGGTTAGGCACTGCCTTACCAACACTTACTTCACCTGGAATGGTACTTTCTACAAACAAAATGAAGGTACCCCCATAGGTTGCCCCTTATCATCAGTGATAGCGAATGTTTTCATGGAGAAATTTGAAACAGATGCCATCCAGACATCCACCCTACGTCCTTCCTTGTGGTAGAGATACAGTATGGGGATGACACTTTCGTCATTTAGCCACATGGCCTGCCAGCATTAAACCAATTTCTCAACCACATTAATTCGATACACTCATCCATCAAATTCACCATGGAAGTGGAGAAGGATGGCAAGCTACCATTCCTGGATGTTTTGTTTGAGAAGAGAGCTGATGGCTCTTTGTGACACTGTCTACAGGAAAGCCACCCACACAGATTCCTATCTGAAACCTGATTCCCACCACCATCCGTCACAGAAGAATTCCCTCATCAAAATACTACACCACAGGTCCCACTGCATTTCTGACCAACACCACATAGCCAGTGAACTGGAACACGTACACTAGGCCCTTAAGATGAATGGATATTCGGACCGCATTTTCCGCAAAGCTGTTTCTCCAACCATGGAGAAATAACCCCCTGAGAAGCCGATCAAAACCATCACGTTACCATAAATAGCAGGCGTTACCAAAAAGATTTCCAAAATCTTAAACAAACACAAGATCCAGGTCCAATTCAGTACAGTACACAAAATCGGGGATCTAATCCCATCTGTGAAGGATGTCACTCCTGACATGCAATACCCTGGAGTCTACAAACTATGTTGCACCTGTGATGTTTGTTACGTTGGGGAAATGAAACGACATGTCTCGGACCGTGTTCGCGAACACAAGGCAGATCTGAAACACCGCAGAACTAATACCTCCGCCGTGACTGACCATTGCTATAACACTGTGGGCTCTCTTGATATTGTTTATTTCTGAGACCAAGGTGCTGAGGAAACCTTCGGGCTACTATCAAAGGTTTGTTCATAAAGCCATCCAGATGTATAAACATAGACCTAACTTCAACTGTGAAGATGGATTCAGATTGAGCAATCATTGGAAGGATGTTATTAACCACGTAAAACCATAACTGCTTTTGGCCTGCCTTCATATCCGCATCTCCAGTTTCCTAACCCTCCCACCTCCAGCCCCGCCCACTTCCCCTCCCCACCCCAGCATTTTTTGCCATGCACGTGTCTTAGCTTGTAGCTTCCACTCCCCCTACCCCGCACCCCCACCTTCCCTGTCTCTCCTCCCTGGCTCCTCCCCCCTTCTCTTGCCTATATAGCCTCTTGTTGCAGCAGCCCTTTTGCCCACTTCAGCAATTGTTTCTTGCTGTGGTTGTCCCACCTGATGACAGCCGCTTGTGTTGCGCCCGAAACGTGGTGATTTAATTAATTTTATTTAATACCTACGTGACTTTACCGAAAGAACCAAAGAGTATGGATCCCTGCAGTCACCAAAACTTTTAATCTAGACTATATAGCTCTTTTTCAGAAGGGATCTGGCTACATATAATAGCTCAAAGAAGTGTGAAATCATCACGTGGACCTTTATAGCGGCCAAAAACTCTAAACGCACGTTGATCCTAAATGTGGAGGGGAAAATCGGAAGACCTGGAGAGAAATCCACGCGACCACAGGAAGAACACGCAAACTATAAATGTACAGCAGGCAACAGGGTTGGGATCAAACTCACGACCTCCTGCATACCAGGCGAGGGAGTTAGCATCACCTAGCCAACGCCGCGCCACCGGATGCGAGCAAGCCAAGAGGGTAACCAGCTGGCCGGAGGCGTCATGACACACAACACCGCAGTGCTAGCGGCCACTGCCCGCCCATCCTCACCGCCCCCAGGTCGACGATGAAGCAGTCCCCCTGGTTGAAGCTCTTCCAGGAAAGCGGCACCTCGGTGGCACGCACCGTGCGTCGCCCCTTCACGTGCAGCAGCCGCTTCACGTCCGCCACGTTGGGCTCCACGTGGCGGAAGCCCGAGGCCACGCCGCCCGCCTGCACGACAAAAACAACGACGACGATGACGACGAAGTGACGAGGTCCTGCAGAGTCTCCTCCTCTGACCTGAGTAGGGAGCTCGCCGCTCCATTGTTACGCAGCAGCAGCACCGGGCGGTTCACGCGAGTGCGCACGCACCTTGTACTTGATGCCGCCCTTGAAGTAGGAGAGGAACGAATTGGACTCGTGTCCCTGCACCTCGCGGTACTGCACGGGCCGCCCCCCCAGGGAGTCGTCCAGCTGCACGGTGAGAACTGCCGCCGCGCCGGACTCGTCCTGAGAGCACTCGCTACCTGCGGTGGGGTCACGCGTAGACACGGGGACATGGGGACACGGGGACATGGAGACACCGAGAAACAGAGAAATGGGGACATGGAGACACGGAGAAACAAGGACACGGGGAGACGGGGACACGGGGAGACGGGGACACGGAGACACGGGGACATGGATACACGGAGAAATGGGGACACGGGGACACGAAGACACGGAGAAAAGGGGACACGGAGACACGGGGACACGGAGACACGGGGACACAGATACACGGGGACATTATGTGAGCAAGGCAGCAGCGGCAGACTCGCTACCTATGGCACGGTGGAGACACGCGGGAGGAAGGGGTGGGGGGGTTGATGTTTAATCGAGCGAGTCGATTGATGAGTCGATGGTTGAGTGGTTCAACGGCTGATTGAGTTAGCAATTGATCGAGCGATTGAGTGGGTTGAGCGAGTTCGGCGGGCGAGCGGCCTCGAGCCCAGTGTGTGCCTCACCGAGCCAGAAGTGCAGCTCGTATCGTTTGACCGCAGGGCCAAAGGCGAACGTCTTGAGCACCACGTAGGCATCCCCCGTGAAGAAGTTGCCGTACTGGTTGGGTGCCACGGCCACAGGACTCAGCTTCTCCACCCTCCACACCTGCAGCCCCTCCACCTGGCCCGCTCCCTTGAACCCCGCATGTAGCACCATGGCTTCAGGTCGGGGGGGTGGGGGGTGTCTGGGGGGGGGGTCGAAAGATGGAGAAAAGAATAAGGTGGTGGTGGGGGGGCACGGGGTGAGATACGAGACGTGGAGTGAGCCTGGCGCGTGACAGTGATCCCCACGATTTGGAGGCGATGGTTGGAGGATCGCGCCAGGGCAGATTTGTGACACCTCCGATTCCCGCACCTCCGAACGTCCGCACCTTCCAATTCGATGCGGTTGGCTACGTCCGGTGCGAAAGAAGTTCAACGTACGTACAAGTGCGAGGTGGTGGCCAGCAGATGGCGCAGTGGTGCACGTGCGATGGTGATAATCCAGAGGCGGTGGTAGCTCGGTGATATCCGCTTCACGTGGACCGTTCTCTAACACGGATCGATTCTTCGTTGAATTACAACGCAACGCCAAATGAGGATTACATTGGCAGGGGGAGCCGGGCAGAGAGGATGCTGTGTTTGGTAAGTGTCTACCTTTTTTGCCGGTCACTCTCTGCTCTGAGGTTAAGGGTCATTTGCCCAAAACGGTCGACCTATCGCGTGCATTTCTTGTTTTCTAAGGTCACAAGTAAAGTCGAGAGCGATTGTTTATCTATATTATCTATATAAAGTGAGTTTTCGCTGGGGTCTTTTAATGCTGTACTACCATCCAGTCAGCTTGTTTATACTTTGACACGCACGCAAAAGTATTGCTCAGATAAAAAAAAAGACCGATAGCCGGACTGAATGGATAGTAAATATTGAACTTTGGTGGCTTTTGAGCTGCTTGTTTTCTGGATTTTGCGTTGGAATGAGATTGCTTATCCCCTGCGTACTAACCAGACGGATCGTGCAGGCAACAGGAGTCGAAGGTTAAGATACTGTACTCACTAACATGCACAAAGACAAAGATCCCCCGTGTAGCCTTTCAACAGACTGTTGGGGCAAGTACTGTTCGTGAGCGCCTTGGAAGAAGGCCGGCACGGCACACGAGCGGGTGGGTGGCCTGCACCACGCCCGACAGCCTTTGTCTCCCCTAGTGGCGAGGTCGACTCAGCCTCATTTGAGGCTGAGTCGACCTCGGGGAGGCACAGGATTAGTTCAAATAATCGTCACTGGTGTTGGCCGTGAGCGGGAATCGAAGTCGGGCCGCTGGGTTTTCACCGCAGGGCGCTAAGCTCTACACTACTGCATGCCAATACACACGCATCAATAGCCTCATACATACATACACACCATACATAAATACACCAATGTATATTCATGCAGTTAAAATTAGTAGCAATACCAGTCCAAATTGTATTGCCTAGTATAGTTGCAATAACTTCCTGAGTGTTCGACAACAGCAGCGTATGCAAAATGCAGCCAAATAATCACGATTCGAGAGCAACGCATAGGTCCGTGTGAGAGAACGGTCCGCGGGAAGCGGATATCACAGAACTACCACGAAGGACCCTTCAAGTCACCTGTGGCGTGCACCGAAGTGGGACACCCACGTGCTCCATCAAGTGAAGACTGAGAGCCGTGTACCGTGCTAACATCACTGCCACTGGGACACGGCTCAAGGTGCAGCCCTGCAATGTCTCGCTCACCCCGCTGCTGGTAGAAAGCCCCCCCCCCCCTCCCACCACAGAGGGTATTTGGCCTACTCTTCCATGCTGGACAGGCGTCTTGGGAGTGACCCACACTTTACTCCACCACACGAGTTCCTTACCGATTTGTGCCGCTGGGCGGACAGATGCGAATGTGTGGGTGGGGGGGGAGGGGTACGTGATAGTATTTAAGCGGTACGTGATAGTATTTAAGGTGTACGTGACAGTATTTAAGGGGTACGTGATAGTATTTAAAGGGTACGTGATAGTATTTAAGGGGCTTTTTGTCTGAAATCTTGCGGCCTTTCACTGGAAAAATCACCTCTGCAGTACTAAACTCTACTCACCTGGTATCGACAATCAAGGTATTTCCCTGTCCCCAGACGACCTGCTTGTCAGGTTTGATGTGGTCTCCTTATTCACCAAAGTTCCTGTACCTGACACCATCGCAATCATTGAAGACTTGGTTCATCAAGGACTGAATGCTGAAGTACCCCCCCCCGCCCTGGTGAGACACTGCTTAACCAATACATACTTCACCTGGAATGGAACTTTCTACAAACAAACTGAGGGCACCCCAATGGGCTCCCCCCTATCTCCGGTTGTAGCCAACGTTTTCATGGAGAAATTTTAAACTGATGCCATCCAGACTGCCACTCTACGCCCAACCTTATGGAAGAAGTACGTGGATGACACTTTTGTCATCTGGCCACATGGCCGGCCTGCTCTAGACCAATTCCTCGACCACATCAATTTCATACACCCAGCCATCAGATTTACCATGGAAGTCGAAAAAGATGGCAAGCTACCCATTTTGGATGTCCTAATAAAAAAGAGACCTGATGGTTCAATGAGCCACTGTCTACAGGAAAGCTACCCATACGGATGCTTCCCTAAAACCGGATTCCCACCACCATCCATCCCAGAAGAATTCCCTCATCAAGACTCACACCATAAAGCCCAATGCATCTCCGACCAGGAACACATTGCCAGTGAACTAAAGCACGTGCACCAAGCTCTCAAGGCTAATGGTTACTCCGACTACACAATCCGCAAAGCCATCACTCCAACCATGAAGAAGGATCCTCTTGATGAGCCATTCAAAACCATCACCTTACCCTACATTGTGGGGGTCACAAAAAATAACTCCAAAATCCTGAATAAACACAAGATCCATGTCCGATTCAACACAGTACATACAATCTGTGATCTGGTCCCGTCTGTAAAATATGTGATTCCAGACATACAGTACCCTGGCGTCTACAAACGAAGTTGCCTCTGTGGTAGCAGTTACATTGGAGAAACCAAACGACATGTCTCGGACCGAATCCGTGAACACAAAGCAGACATGAAACACGGTAGGACAAACTCCTCAGCCGTGGCAGACCATTGTTATAATTCAGTGGGCTCACATGACATTGACTTTTCCAAGACGGAGGTTCTCTGCAAGCAATCCGGCTACCATGAGAGATTCGTTCATGAGGCCATCCACATATACAAACACAGAGACAATTTCAACCGAGAAGATGGATTCTGGCTCAGCAATCATTGGAAGGACGTGATAAACCATTTTGGGTCTTGATTGATTGTGTTCATGTTCACGGTGACTTTCAGACCGCATGCCATTCGCTGGCCTTGACTATATAGCTTTTGTTTTCTCTTCACGGATCGGAGTCTTTGCTCCGCTGCAAGTTTCCTGCTACCACTCTCCCACTGACATATTCCTTTGCTTCCTCTTAGTACCTTCACGCGACTGTCAATGCTATGGCGATTGTATAATAATAAATAGCATAATAGTGTAATGTTTAATAGAATGTATAAGTATTTAAGAAACTTGCACGATTGTTTTAACTGCCGCATCGGAGGAGATGGATTCCAACTGGCGCCCTGTGGGTTGCAAGCGCGCTGCTCTGTGTGTGCGTTGAACTTCTTTCGCACCGTACCTCGCCAACCGCGCTCATTGGAGGTGCGTGGGAAGGACAACAACACTAAACACAACAACAACAACACTAAACACAACAACAACAACAAGCAGCAGCTCTAAAGAAACGGGGTTTCAATGTAGACGATTTAAAATTGGCTTCCTAGTATCGGAAGGAAGAGCGCGTTCCAGACGGCCGCAGAAGCGCATCCGAAATCGCGATACACCGCGGGGGAGGGATGAGAACGCCGCCGATCGGACGGTGAGACAAAGTTTACTTACGAGATCCGAGACGGATTCTTGCACGGACGTCGCACTGCGATGCCCTAAAGTTCCCGACTCGCTTCTCTCTCCCCTCCCCCCCGCCTTTTAAACTTGTGGCTGCGTCGCTCTCACATTGACCGCTCCGCCCCTCCCTCCTCCCCCCCCACTCCCTAGCCCCCTCCCCCCTCAATGGAGCCCTCCCCACCATCCCCACCACATTGAACCCTCCGCGACTCGATCTGTCAAGTTCAAGAATTGCATCCGCATCAGCCAGCAGTTGCCATGTTCTATCCACTGCTGGGTGACTGCTTCCCCCGAGCACTCAGCAGGCCGCGCAGTTACTGATCAGGAGGCGGTCTGATCTCATCTCTTCATCAATAATTCATCATCACCAGCCGTGGCCAATCCACTGCTGGATGAAGGCCGCGCCAAGCTGTCGACAGTCCCTACCCCCTCCACTGCCCTGCCGTCTAAGAAGCAATCATCACCCAGCACGGGCACACGAGCCGATTTGATCGATCATCGAATTAGTGAGCCACGATCGATCCACTACTGGATGTGTATCTCCCCTTGCCATCGCCGTCCGTCCCCGTGTTGCAATGCAGAGAGAGAGAGACACAGAGAGAGACACAGAGAGAGACACAGAGAGAGACACAGAGAGAGAAAGACACACACAGAGAGACACACAGAGAGAGAGCCACACAGAGAGAGAGACACAGAGAGACAGAGATCCGTCTCGTTCTTCCTGCACGTCGAGCGCGATCTGGTCGTTGATTGGTCCACTCAGTTTCAAACCAATCACTTTCAAAGACAATGCATATACAGTATTGATTTGATTTAATTCATTATTTTGCATATATTATCAGAGTATGTTTTTTGCATTCTGACCACAAGTATTGTGGTTAATGCAGACACGATTCCTCGTAAAAGGTTTCAGTGTAGTGTTTTAACATCTTAACACCTATACTCTTTCGTTCTTTCGGTAAAGTCACGTGGGTAGAAAAATAATAAATCACGACGTTTCGATCGCAAAACAAGCAATCGTCAGCAGCAGGGACAACCACAGCAAGCCAAAACTGCTGAAGTGGGCGAGAGATCTGCCGTGGCACGAGGTTTTGTTGTCATAAAAAAGGGGAAAACCTATTCTTGTATTTTGAGACTGGCAAATGAGGTCCTTGATGTTTGCTGCGTGTTGTTCTCTAATCCACGTGTTCCTCTTTCCGTATCGGGAAGTAGTTCTCTCTCTCCACGTTGTTTTTTCTGCACGTGCGTCGGAGCCTCGGCGGCGCCGGCCCAGGAACACATCATCTGGGGAAAGCCCTGGGCAGGGATTATTTACGCGACTTAGATATGCTTCGTCAGCGAGTCGTCTTCTGCAGGGACAAAGCCCTGGACAACGAGTGAGGCAAAGCGCCGGGGAGATATCAATTCGCATTCGACTCCGAGATGCTGGCTCAGTGAGTCACCGGCTGAGACGAAGCTCTGGGAACGTGGACCAGCGGATACGAGAGGGGAGACGAGAGAGGAGAAGGGAGTTCGATGGGTGCGGAGTGCCAAGGCGTGTTGCATGGTCGTATGACCCGGGCACGTTACCTGGTGGATCATCTAACGACCTTTGCTGAGCCCTACGTGAGCCGCATCCTCTCGCGTGTTTCAGATCGCGTTATTGACCGCCGTGTTCGTTGATGACCGCCGTGAGTCCAGCACCACGTGTCGCAGCAGTTTGGCAACACACGGGGAGGGGAGGCCCCGGGGTAAGTCCCATCGTGTGGGGCCCCCCACGGACGCCTTCAAACTAAACCGGAAGTCTTCCATCTGACACCGTGACGTCGAAGCGCGCCCCTCCCCCAAGCGCGGGGCCCAGGGCGCTCGCCCCGATTCGCCGTAACGTAGGGACGGCTCTGGCGACACGCACACGCATGTATATTATATAATTGCATATGATGGCAGCAGCAGCAGCAGATGGCCAGGAGCTCGATGGCAATGTCGAGGTCTGCTGGCCATGACGAGAGGGCTTCAGCAGAGCGAGAGAGTTCGTGTGGCTTTACTCCTCCTGCTGCTCCTCCTCCTCCGTGTAATGGGCACAGGCTATAGTGGGCTTACTTGTGCTGTCCACAGTTTTGGTTGCATAGCCACAATTGCACTTAATTCTAGAGTTGAAGCTTTCGTGACTGCAAGGATTCGGACTCTTAGGTTTTTTCGGTAAAGTCACGTAGGTAAAAATTACAATTAAAAGTTAATAAAAGTAATAATGGAAATAAAATAAAATAATAAATCAAGACGTTTCGGAGGCAACACAAGTCTCCGTCATCAGGTGGGACCGTCACAGCAAAAAATTACTTGATGCAGTCATTTTAGCTGTGACGGTCCCACCTGATGACGGAGACTTGTGTTGCCTCCGAAACGTCGTGATTTATTATTTATTTTCATTATTACTTTTATTAACTTTTAATTTTATTTTTTACCTACGTGACTTTACCTAAAAAACCTAAGAGTACAATTGCACTGCTTCGGCTTGTCTGTTAAAGTCTTTCTATTAACTCTATGGGTCTCTATGTATCTCTTTGAGTCTGTATGTGTATATATATTCGAGTACTGTATCTCTCTATCTATCTGGGGGTCTATATGGGTCTATAAGTACAGTATATGTATGTGTCTCCATTATCACGTGGCCTCAAGGTGCACATAGCCTGGCACAAGCGTCGTGGTGACGTCACTGCCACTTAGTGGCGACTGGCGGTTGTTGTTGATGTATATATGTTTTTAAATTATGCATCTCTATGGCTCTCAATGTATCTCAATGGGTCTCTCTATGTACTTGTATGAGTATCTATGTATCTCTGTGTACATGGATTTCCTATACGGTCCACAGTTTGGGTCGGATTTCCCCATCGCACAAGCGTGGCGTGTCGTTGATGTCCCGTTCACCTCGTGCCTCGCAGCGAGAAGCACCTGGGTTCGATTCCAGACTCGGGCGCCTCTCCACGTCGGCTGTTGTATCTTCGCCCCCTGCTCTGCATCGGTTTCATCTGAGTTCTCGGGCGTGTTCCCAGAGCTAAGAACAACCCCAATGCTGACAATGACACCGCAAGTTCCTCAATTGGGATTACAAAGCAGCAGCAGCAGCAGCAGCAACAACATCGTTCCCCCTACAGCAAAACAAAGCTGGCAGGACCCTCCTGAAGCAGAGTCTTGTGACTCCGTGAGGCTTCCATGGATGAACTAGCCTCACAATAAATATCGCTGGGACATGGCGCTGATGCAAGGTGAAGGCGCAGCCCCTGCAATTGCTCGCTCACGCCACCGCTAGCAGAAGGGAGCTCCGATTTGCTGAACCTCCAGAGAGCTTCTCTCTCTCAGCACGAGGCGGTATTGTTAGAATCCGTTTCCGCGCTGGTCCACCCCTTTTTGAAGAGGGAACCGAATGATGTGCAGTGTAAAATATTGTAAATATTTAGTCTTCTCATTTGATGCGTATGGAGGGGAGGGGGGGCGGGGAGGGGGGGCTGGGAGGGGGAGCTGGGGGGGGCTAGGAGGGGGGGCTGGGGTGGGGCTGGGGTGGGGCTGGGGTGGGGCTGGGAGGGGGGGCTGTTGGGGGCTGGGGTGGGGCTGGGAGGGGGGGGCTGGGAGGGGGGGGCTGGGGTGGGGCTGGGAGGGGGGGGCTGGGAGGGGGGGCTGGGGTGGGGCTGGGAGGGGGGGCTGGGAGGGGGGGGGGGCTGGGAGGGGGGGGCTGGACGCACTGCGCGTGTCGTCACCACCCGTGGCACTGCGCTGCGGGTCCCTTCGCCCCGCCCCGGAGTGCGGCGCTGCAAAATCCCTGAGCAGACCTCGGGCTGCGGCCGCCTTATCGGGACCGCGCCCTCGTCACACGTGGGCCGTGGTTTCCTCCGTTGACAACCAAAAAACGGCCCGAAAAACGCAGAACTCCGTCGGCTGAGCGTGTTCGCTGCGTCTTGGTGGCAGTCCCTCACAAGACGTCACTCGCAATGTGAATGTCGCAGTGGGGGTTTACTCGCAAACGCGCAACCGGTGTGCTGAAGCAGTAACGAGCTGGCACGTTTTGTTTACGTGACAAACCCTACCGGTTGGCTGTGTCGGGCGGTGGCGGGTGTTCACGACGCGTTCATGTTCACGCGATCTGACGCAACCCCCCCCCCCCCCCCCTGTACTATGGAGAGTATTGGTCGCTAAAGCCCGATCACTACTCCGTGTTAAACTGCTCTGGACGCGTTCGCTAAACTCGGGGCCCGGGGTTTAGTGATCACCGCATGGATCTGCGTGCTGTGTGCGGGGCTCAAAGTAACGACATCTGGTGATTTTAACGCGACGGCTTTCGCGACCAGTATTATGATTTAACCTTCATTGTGAATATTTGTGGTGACGCCGCCTTTGCTGCTGCTGCTGTCCCTACGTTGGCAGCGGTGCACATGCACAGCGGACACAACGGAATAGTTACAACATCGATGACGTTTCGCGTAATGGGCCTACTTCGTAGCACATAAACTGTGCGCTATGGACAAGAGCCATTGCTCGGCACAGCCAGCCCACGTGGAATGAGTGCGATGAAGAAGACCCATTGCCTGAAACGTCGCCTATTTTCAGATTTTTTTTCTCGTTTAAGGCCGCAGTGCTGTTGAAGAACACGACCGTGTTGTACTTATTATGTTTTACTGTTTGGAACTTTACGTGAGTTAAAACCGGCCGCAGTGATTAAAGGCGTATCCGTGATTTGGAGATCCAACCCAGCGCTCAAAGCACCGTTTGCGAACAAGTGACCGCGGCATTTCGTTCGGGTTCTCTGTTGGGCAAATCCCTTGGATCATTGCGGCCAATGTTGCTGCGTGGCGAGTCCCGAATAGCCACGCGAATTTCGACTCAAGATTCGTTCATCGGGGGTCGTCTCCGTGAGAGTTACCGTGGCCTTGCGCGAGGAACGGGCGGACGGACAGACAGGCAGGCAGTCGGAAAATCACGAACGCGACCCACCTTGGCGGGAAGGCATTGACATATTTCACCTGGGGCAGGTGAAGGAATTAAAACAATGTGGTTTGCGTAAGAGACTATTTTAAAATGATGTGTACAATGTATCAGCTGCACGAGCA